GGCTGTCCAGGTAGTTGCCCTTCATAAAATGCAACGGGATAAGGATTGCCGGCTTCTGGAGGGCTGTCCAGGTAGTTGCCCTTCATAAAATGCAACGGGATAGGGCTGTCCAGGTGGTTGCCCTTCATAAAATGGAAAGCCTTTCCAGGTAGTTCTTCTTCATAAAATGCACCAGAATAAAGATTCCCAGCTCTTTGAAGGCCTTTCCAGGTAGTTCTCCTCCAGGATAAAGATTTCCAGCTTTTCGAAAGCTTTTCCAGCTCTTTGAAAGCTTTTCGAGGTTCTCCTTCATAAAATGCACCAGAATAAAGATTTCCAGCTCTTTGAAAGCCTTTCCAGTTCTCCTTCATGAAATGCACCAGGATAAGGGATTTCCAGCTTTTTGAAGGCCCTTCCAGGTAGTTCTCCTTCATAAAATGCACCAGGATAACGGATTTCCAGCTTTTCGAAGGCTTTTCCAGCTTTTTGAAAGCTTTTCCAGGAAGTCAAGAAGGTTTTGGGGGGAGGGGTAGGAGGGGGCGGGGAGGGGGGCGTGGGAGTGCTTGCCGACAGAGGCAAACAATTGCTATTTTTCATTCTCCTAGGGGTTTAGGGTTTAGGGTGTGGGGTTTAGGGTTTAGGGTCATGAAGGTTTTTAGACTCTAAGGTTTTGTTTAAGGCTTAGGGTTTAGGGTTCAAGGTTGCGATAAGGTTGCAGGTTTTGTCAGGTTTAGGAGTTTACGCTCTCACAACTCGGGCAAGCCCGGCTAGCCAGGCGAGGTCTAGCAAGTTCAGGACGGCGTAGAACCAGATGCGTAAGAGGTCGAATATGGGGGCCTTGATAATTAGAATAGGGTTTCGGGGCCCATCATACTAATTATGACTGTACCAACGAACCCAAGATAGTATAGGTAAATATTTAATTTAGGTCCCTTTTTTAAGGGTTTAGGGTTCCAGGGTCAGGACAGCAAGCAGAAAACGACGAGGACTGGTGCTTAGCATGCACATGTGTTCAGCAAAAACCCCTAAACCCTAAACTCCCAAACCTCTAAAACCCAAAACCCCTAAAACCTAAACCCCTAAAACCTAAACCCCTAATCCCTGAACCCCTAAACCCCAAACCCTTACACCCCTGAAGCCCCAAACCCTGAGTAGGATTAGGGCCTGAATCTAAGAGTGACCAAGTGACGACCCACCAAACGATATACCACAAAGGTTCAGGGTTTAGGGGTTTACCCAAAATTAGGATCCATGCCAGGAGCGCTGACAAAGACCAAAGGGTTCGTCATCAGGCTCCCATAAGTATTAAGCTCGTTTGCTTCGTCGTTCCCGAAACCCGAGTCTCTTTAAACGGCCCCGATAGAATGACGTGCCCGCACATCCGAAGGGTTACAAAACTCAGCCCATCAATCCAATGTCCTCATAAAATCAACTGATTCAAAGAGGACCCTAATCCTTATAAAACCCCAAAGCATCATACAATCCCTGTAGAATCCTAATAGAACCCCATAAACACCCTAAAGAAGCATGCAAAAACAAAAAAACGCAGCCCCAGTAAATCCTGAAGGGATCCCTCAACCCTAAGCCCTGTAACCCTTAAGCCCTGAAGGGATCCCTCAACCCTTTTTACGAGCAGGGACTGCAATGCACTAAGCCCTGAGAGGGACCCTAAAACCCTAAACCCTAAGCCCTGTAACCCTTAAGCCCTGAAGGGATCTTCGCACTTGCAACTCAGCGGTGGTTTCAGCCTTCGAGCTGCTGGCCGCGCTGTTCAAGAGCACCTGCCTGCAGCTGGCCACCAGGGGGAGGGCTGATGGTGGTAAGGCCATTTTCATTTTTAAGGGTCAGGAGTTTAGGGTTTAGGGTTTTTTTTAAGTGCAATGGCCTTTTCTGTGCTGGGTTTAGGGTTTAGGGTTTAGGTTTTTGTAAAGGGTCAGGAGTTTAGGGTTTCGACTCACACNNAAGGTCCCGAGCTTGCTACATGTACATGTCCGCTTATCGACGAGTTCAATAGCCCGAAATGCCCAGTAACAGCAAAACACAGATCAACACAACCTCGAACCTCTAAAACAGGCAGGGCATATCAAACACGTCGACCTACAGTCCGTCAGAACGGGTCTATTGCGCCCACGTTCCTCTGTCGCACATACAGCGTTCAGAACCACTGCTTCAAAACATTCCTTGTTCTATCCTTTGCTTCACTCACCGAGGCGAGGTAGCACTATCACGTCCATCTCTTCCGTGCTCGATGAATTCATCGTTATGCTGAAGGACTTGCAAAACATGCAGTGTCGGCAGACTCTTCACATTGACCTCAGTGGGCAGGAGTTTAGGGTTTAGGGGCCAGGGGGTCGGGAGGCATTTGGGGTGTGTCGTCTGTCGCACTCGCACCAGGCAGGCAACGATCAACGCGTCCAAGGTCCACGACCACATAGCCACGATCCAGAGCACATTCAAGGGTTTGGGTGTTTCGTGTTTTTAGGTTGGGCACACGACCGTAATGACCACTCGAGCCTTGAGTCTATGTTTGAAGTTGTCACCACTCAGCTTCGAGCAGCATAACACTGTGCCGTGTCCTGGTTCCCCGCATGTAGCACGTAGCTGCAGCTTTACTGGGTGTTAACAAATGAAAAGTACAAAACTGGTGTTTCGTAACGGCTCCACTTTTAACGAAGAAGTCGAAACCAGGTACTAAAGTATAGTACTTCAGAACCCAGTTCTAGACTTGAACCCTAAACCCTAAACCTGCAACACTCGCTAGGAACTTGGAGTTGCCGGAGGCGGGAGACGTGTTCCGACCATGCACTGACTGCATCATGCAACGCTGTTTTTGTTGTCGGATAGTTTCCATCTGAATGAACTTCATGATAGGGTTTAGGGTCTCGGGTTTAGGGTTTAGGATAGGGTTTAGGGTTTAGGGTAGGGTTTAGGATTACCGGGCCAAAGTGAGGCCGATCACCATGTCAGGCTGTAACCTTGGGGCTGACGCACCACATCCTCGCATACCGTCAAACAGAACCGCCAAGCGTGAACAGGTAATACAATGTGGGAAGCTGATTAAGAAACCCTGGCCCTATAACCTTAATATATTATGGTTCATACTAAGAACCCTAATAAAGGCCCAGGGTTTCTTAATCAGGTTCCTATGTTAGGGGCCTAAATAACTACCAATACACGTATGTTGCTGCGGATAAGTTTCCTAGGGCCTCCATTAAGAGACTACAGCTGAGAAACTTGAAAACCCTGCAGTGCCCCAAACCTTCACGGTTTAGCGTTGAGGGTTCAGGGGTTCAGGGCAAGTTTAGGGACGTCTTGCTCGAACCTTTTTGTTTATCTCTGTGTCTGGCTTCCAGCATCTTGCTCGGGGCCCCCCTTCCGGTGAATCGTGAAGATGCGAGCAAGTCGAGCCGGTGCCCTGGCTAGGTCCTAACATACCATGTGAGAACGATCAATATACAATATACGATAATACAACCGAATGCAATATTAATATAAAACAATAATCTATGTACTTATATATACATAGATGGAGGATATGTATAAATGAGCGACCTCAGCTGTGAGGAGCAGATCTACACTTCTTTTTTCAAGATTTCCCTCTGCAGACACACCATCTGGGGAGCTTGTGAACAAGCCGTCTCCTTGACGCTGAACCCTGACCCTAAAACACGAGCAACGACGACACAGTTGAGGAGAGGGCCTGACGGATGAAGCTGTCGGGTTTTGTGCTCCCTCAGCTCCGGGCAGTGTAGCAGGTCGCAGCATTATGCGGCAACATGCTTCAACCGTCTCCGAAATTCTGCAAGCCAAAACCGTTTTGCACCCGAAATCCTATGCCCCACACACCTGGACCCTCAGTCCTACATTGGGTGCTCCGCAGATCCCACAACTGCAAATCATACACATCTCTTTGCTAGTTGTGGTTTCGGCGCTCACACTCGGATTCTCCAATGTGCTGCGGTTTGAGAGCTTTGCGACAAAATACCAAGGCCTCATTGACATTCCACTAATGCCATTTTTCTGTTTACCATCGTTAAGTTCCAGTTGTTGATTGTTCACCAATGCTTCATCGATTATCCTGAAAGTGTGGTAGACTCTAGTAGGCACTGACGCCATGTAAAGCAAGTCGAGAGTGATTGAAACGTGACAACGGATACTGTTGTTAGACAAGGGATCTCGATTTCAGGAGCCCCTACTGGTGACTTACTGCTGCTGGCATCTTCCATACCACGACTGTGGGCATGATCCGCCATACGCACGTTTAGGAAGATTCTGGCGTTGCACATGTGCTTGGTGCTGCGACGCATGTTTCAAAACTCTCGTATACACCCAAAACGCCCAAAACCCCTCTACGATCCTCCCTAAGCAGCCCTCTAGGCCTTGGGTGTGCAACGGTGCCGGGTTCGGGGTTGTAGGCTATTCCGCCTTTTTCTGCTCGGACGAGCAACAAAGTGTACAACCAAAACATGTTTGCTGCAGCCAAAGTCTCCGGGTATCTTCTTCTACTCATCGCCATGGCACCACGAAATCAGGCTAAGGTCCTAGAAGCCTGCAGATCTCACTAGTCAGTAGCTGTGACTTGCCATAAGAAAATATAACAGTACTATTACTAGGTAGTTGCTACCACTTCGCCTTCTGCTCCTTCGTTTTGTTCTACAACTAGCACTACTGCTGCTGCGACTGCTGCCAGATTCCTTCGTCTTCTTCAGGAACAGAGAAGCCTGTGCCATTCATGATGCACTCCAGTTTGAGACGGTCGCCCCTCTCAGGTGAGCCACATGCATATCATGGGTGATGGTCGGCAAGATCCAAGGAAGGCTCTTCTGCCACCTGTTCTGCCGTATGGAAAGCATATCTCCGTAACATCCAAAAGGACCGCTGACGATCTATAAAGATCCTGAGGACTCGCCCATCCAAAAAAGCAACTGTTGATACAGCAACAGCACATATGCAAATCGCGAACTCCACTTCAAAAGTCTGGTTGCAACTGCATTGTGACCGGCTTCGGATGCCTCTGTCGGATGTTTGGGCCTACTGTCAGTCATTACTTTAGCGACTGCAACTGCAACAATTAGCACGCCAAGAAATCGCAAAAGGGATTAAGGGTGAACTGTCAACAAATATCGACACGAATGTGCATCCTCGGCTTCAGCACCACGGAAGCATGGGTGAGTGTGACAACTGCCTGTTAAACCATCACACGTACATATTCTGCATGCCTGTACTATCTATTACCCGTGTATGTAGACACACGCGCGACTTTCGTGGTGTGCGTGAGCACGTCTCTATGTCCAGGTGTCGGTATGTTTAGGGTTTGGCGCAGGCTGAAGGAACGCATTCAAGATGCTCCAGTCAGCAAGTCGTCCTTAGTCGGCAAGGAGGGTTGCTGCTTCAAGCCTCACCCAAACAAGATAGCAAGACGCCCTAATTATGCACAAATCAATCCATTACTTATCATTACTGTACTTGTGACCAGAATCTGATGTTATTTCTTATTCCTGCCCTGAACATCTGGGCAGCGGATCTGAAACCTATTGCAGCAGGTTGGCCGAGATCAGTTGCGGGTAATTCCGCGCCAGGGGATTCACATCACCATACTCGTCGATTTCCGCGCTCCTCAGTCGCGCATAGTTAGGGCGAAGTGCGGGTGGCTCAGCGAACCCTGCAACTTGCATCTCATGTAATTAGGAGGGAAAGGCGTCGGGTTAAGTTAAGCGCTTTTGTATGTGTACATACATATAGATAAACACATCTAAATTTTACAGAGGCTGCCAGCGTACGCAACACTTACATTTTTTTGTCACGCAGATTGAGGATGGGCTTGAGAAATTACTTGTGAGACTTGATTACTTTCGATCCAAGCTTGTGCCCACAAGAGCTTCATGTTGTCCACAAATGTCCGGCGACTAAGTTCCTCTTACGAGGACGATCAACCCTGAAACCGAACAAAAACCTGAACGCCGGTTGGGATCTCTCTGATGTGCCAGAACTGCGTGGTCCTAAACAAGAAACCGCTTAAACCCCTTCTTCCCATCGCTGCTGACAAGCGGCACGTCTATGAACGTGCATTTGCTTCCACGGGGACCTCGTGCCGCGAGGGGCTTTGGACGTAAAGGTCAGTCGAGAAACGAATTTCCCGACAAGCCTCCAAGGACTGTGCAGAATGGATCTAGTTTCCGAGTCCAGGCACCCCGACAAGACTAACCTTCTACAGCTCTGCAAGCGCTACGTACCCAGCTCTTTCCCTAACCATCCAGGTACCTACTTTTTTCGGGTACTAGAGTCCTGAGGGCCCTTTTTGGTGTACAATTGAAAATCCAGGAAAATACAGAAGATATTTGACGATTTGTTTAGGCACCTGGAGGGTTAGGGTAAATGCAACACAAAACAGCTCCAGCCGACAAGCCTGAAGCCGAATTATGGTGTCCTGACGAAACAGGCCCCCTTGAAAGGTTTATAGGGCTTGGGGTTTAGATGGGTTTAAGGTTTAGGGTTTAGGGGGGGCTTAGAGTTTAGATGGGTTTTGGGGCTTAGGGTTTCCCAAGTTAGAGAACCCTATGCAAACCCTCAGCACCAACTTCTGGCAGTGAATCGACCCCTCCACCCTGGAGTCCCGGGCTTGAAACCTTTCAGCCGCAGAAATCCCCAAACCTGCAATGCAATACCTCCCAAACACCAGCCACTGAAAGTCTTGGACAGCAAGCTCAACCCTAAATAACCCTAAGCCTTAAATCCTGAGCCGCAAGGAGCAGGACTCCAATAGCCCTCAAACCAATTAAGTAATCTCGCGGAAAATGTAAAAAGCAACTATCCCTCATCAGGGGTGCTTCAAAACGTGAAACTTTACAACCACCACGTAGAACCACTAGCAACACACAAAGAACCCTAAGCACCTTCAAGCCCTGCTTAATATTTATACTACCCTGAGAGGCTGATCTCAGGTCGATGCAGTAGCTGTCGCCTCGGCACTCGAGGCCGCAATAGCGCTGTCGCCTCTAAATTCTATGGGCCAGAGTAGGATTCAGAAGTTTACTGTAGGGACCTGGGACCTTTAGAGTAAGGTGGTGTTTTTAAACGCTTGTCTAGGGTTTCTGGCTGCCGGATTCAGGGAGTTTCGGAGTTTGGGATTTCTTTCTAGCCTTTTTTCCTTCTGCCAGGTACTAACTCGTCGGAAAGCCAATTGGACTGAGGCAACGGGCCTGAGAAAAGTCGCAGGGGATTCACCACCATCACCACCATACCCCGTACTAAACGGAACCCACTGTTCTCGTGTCCCTGTGCGAACTCTGTCAAATCTGCCAACACGAAACTGCCACCATGAACCCGCAGTACGAAGATGCCACACATACAGCTTACTCTTGAACCATATTACACTGGCTCAGATCTGGCGGTGAATGTGCTGCACCTGCAGGTAGCAGCTACAGCTTCGCAGTACGTTCATGTGCACATCTACCACCAACAGCCAACCAGTATACGAACTGCAGAACCAAAACACTATCTAACCCAACTAGTTCTAAGTACAGACTACTTGCAACAGGTCTCCCACCAGGCTCTCTCTCCCAAGCACAACCCCATGTACCTAACTCAAAGGACCATATACAACTACATGTCATTCCAGGATTTTTCAGGCTTAGACTTCCGTGATTCTGAGCTTAGGGCTCAAAGGCCTTCATGCCCCAAATCCACGCGGTGGCGTAAGGAGGGATCAGTAATTTAGGGACCCCTTATTTCGGAGCTTGGCGTGGTTTGGGGCTTTTGCGGCAGTATGTTTGGGTTTGGGGTTCCTGTGTTTTTTGGCTTTAGGGCTGCAACTATTTAAGCTTCACGGCTTGGAGACTCTCAAAACTGGCAGAAGTGAAGCTCGTGGAACTACAGTCTTGGGTTTGTTATAAAAGGCTTCGAAGTTACGTTGCCTGCGGGCTCAGGGTTGTGGCTGCAGGGAATCGGAGCTTTGCTTCGGCCAGGCTGCATGCTGGGATGACTGGTGTCTCCTTTCGGTGCAGGGACCATGAAGCAGGCCGGCTTGCCGAAGGTATCCTCACATCTCTGTCTTGGCTTCTGTCTCGTGGAAAAAACATCGAGGTCGGCGCACGCAGCGTGCCCCGAAAGATTGGAAGAGAAGGCACTGGCAAGGTGCAACATCATACAAATCTACAGGTTGGGAAAGCGAGGGTTTAAGTGTTGTTGCCGCGCAGCAACCCAAAACATATAGTACCAGTATGGTATGGAGTATGAAAGTATAGATTGCTCTGGTTACATCATGCTAACATACACGCCACAATTGACAAAAAAAGGATGTCCTACTGCTGCTGCTTTACAACGGTAAGCTGCAATAGATTCAGTAGATGGGCGCACTCATGAGGTCGCAACGAGATCTCGGGCCCTCGACTTCAACACGTAGTAAGCATAGCACCGTCATTAAGGAAAAATAGCAAGACAGCAGCCAACGACGAATAGGCAGAGGAGAATCTGGATTTCATGGAACCCGGTCGCAACACTGGCAAGAGCAATGGCAGGCGAGGTGGCAACTGCGATGCTCTTTCGAAATTAGCTTGAGAGGCATATTCACTACGATAGGTCAGTTAAGCTAGGTCCATCTGATTCTGAGTGCATCCTTCCATTTGTCGGGGTTCCTCGCTCGGTTTTATAAAAGCTGGCTGAACCGCTAGAAGCCAGTGAAAGAATCTTACAATTAAATAAATATCTGGGCTTGCCGTACACGAAATTACACTACTAGTACTTTGTGGGAAGGTTCCACTTGCTACGCACGTCGAGAGCAATAGATGTGGCCCGTACTATGGTTGCCGAATAAATACACTAGATATACCTGCTTCTGTTCATGAAGGCTGCCTTTTCTAAGTATCCTTCCTTGTTTCCTGTTCGCTTTGCCACTTCGTGACAATGCTTCCTAGCTACATTTCTGTTGTTGACGCTTTGTTGGCAAGCTTCCCCCTTGCGGCAATGTCCGAAGCACAAGACACCCCTTGCGTGTCCTTCGGCTTCTCTTGGGGGCACTCGGCAGATGCATCAGCGGATTCGCCGGTGCAGGCTCAGCAAGCGGCAGATTGAGTTGGCTTGTGCTATGAAGGCCGCCGCTGGGCGGACCGCCATCCCTGTAACCCTTGAGTGGGAATACGTTGAAGGAATGATCCGACATGGTACGCGCTGATGTGCTGGAAAAACATCACATGATACAACTGACTCTGCGCAGCTCTTTCGCTCCTACTGTCGGCGTTGACATCCTTCCAACGATTTAAACCTGTATGATGGAGCTGTTCGGGGGACATCTCTCTCACAACGGTCCAACGATAGACCCAGCACTCCCAACATTCCAAAGTCGGAATTTGCTCGCCTAGGACGGGCAGACATGTGGGTAGTTCTCTAAATTCGGGGCCCTTTATAAGTCCCCAATATAGTACGGCACCCTTATAAGAAGGACCCTAAAAAGGACCCTAATTTTGAAAACTACCCATGTGTCGTCTCAGACGCAACTGAGAGGCCGCTGACGCAGAGCGACCTTCCACGGAAAGTGGCAAGTGTCCTGGGGTTTCGGGTTTAGGGTTTCGGGTTCAGGGTTCAAGGTTTAGGGTTTAGGGAACCCCCCAGGTACCTACTATCTAGCGTAGGAGCAATACGACAGGCCCAAACTTGAGTGATCCAGGTCCAGAGTCTAAGGCCATGTTTGTCCGCGACCCGATGCTGCACAACGTGAAGCAAATTTATCAGGTCTTTGGGGCTGTATAAGGTTTAATGGTTTCTCCGATGGAGGTTAGTTTGACGGTTGCACCTAAGAAGTCTAGGGAAGTCTACCAATCTGAAGACTATAGAAGTGGCCCTAGGACGCCCCAGGTTTGGCCTTCTCTCAGATTGAAATTGAAAGACTTCGAGTGCAGGGTTTAGGCTACTACCGGGTTACAGTAGGCCTAGAGAGCCAGGCCCCGGGATTCGGATTCGCGAGCATGGGTGCAGCTACGTATGCAGCTTTTCATCTTGTTATTATTATTGTTATTGTTGTTGGCGGCTCCTCATATGCACAAAGGATCGTGAGACCCGATCCCTTGCCTGCGACCCTAAAGCCTTCGCCTTACCGCCAAAACAATGCTTCTAGAGCTGTTGCACTGCTCGGAACGAAAAAGACCGACCAGTTTGCATGCAAGGTGCTCGCCATCCGAACATGGAGGCTTCTCGTACCTCGGAGAGGGTTCAGGGCTCACGGAGGTTCGGCATTCTAAATTCTCTGGCCTGGTATCAGACCCGGCTTCATTTTGCTTCAAAACCACACTGAACAACTCCAAATGGCTAAAGGCCTCCATGGGCACTTCCAGCCGAGCAAACGTGACTACCTACTTCATGTGCTGACCCAGTTTAGGCTTCGGGAATTTTCACGTGAGGGACTTCAGGGTTCATGGGTGCTGGCGGGGACGGGTCCCGAATCCTTGACAAATGCTGTTTGGGTGAAAAATTAAAGACAAGCGGGATGAGGATAACTTTCTTACTTGCCCGCTTTCCAGCAAATACCAAAGGTTAACGTTTTGGTGTTGTTTTCGTGCACCTACTACTACTACTACTACTACTACTACTACTACTGCATCTACTACTACTACTACTACTACTACTACTTCTACTTCTACTACTACTTCTACTACTACTACTACTACTACTACTACTCTAATAGTAATAACAATACGTATCACTACTGCTACTACTACTGCTGCTTGAAAAGGCAGTGAAAGGCTACACACTCAACTGCTGAGACTTCAGGCTGAAAAAATGTCAGAGGGGCCTGCCCAGCACCAAAACCTGCGGAACGGTAGCCAGAGCTAACCTTCGGCAGGTGTAGGGTTTGGGGTTTCGACTCTCATTTTGCTTTCGCAAAGGTAGGCCAGGCTCCTCATACAGTAGTTCCGTCACGCAAGATGACTTCCCGGGCTATGGCTCATCAGAGCAGAACCATCCAAACCATGCACAACCCATAAGGCCTTCAGCCCCTGGAGTCACCTGTACAGAGACTTTTGGGGGTTCCGGGTTTCGGGCGTGTAATTGTAATATAGTGGCCTTAGCAATTAGAACAAAGATTAGTCGTACATCCCTGGGGGTCCATGTAGTATATACCGAGGCCTTAAAAGTAGTCCCTATATAGGTACTTTAAAGCCAAAGTGTATAGTAGATACGTGCATGGACCTTTTAAGTATTCCCCACTGTAAGTTACTAAACACACCGTAAAGAATATGGGTTTTCTTCAGGCTCCTACTTTAGGCTCGGGGGCAAAGGGGCTTAGAGCGTCATATTATGCAGAAGCCCGAACAAGTACAAGAGGCTATCAGGGCTTATGTTGTAATATACTGGAATACAGAGATATATAGGAACTATACGGGGATACTATTTCTGTCTACATAAACTCCAGTGTTAGGCCGCTACTTTCCTTGGGGCTTTGGCAATAGACATGTGGCTCCAACCTCGATTGGCACAGGGCTTCGACACTACCAGAGAGCCTAATACCCTTAGACTACCAAGTAGTATACCTCAAATTGCATATTTTGGGCTCTCTGGGCACCGCTTCCTTGCCTGTGAGAAAGATCTAAGTCCAAGAAACCAGAGGTCTCAGCTGCAGCGAAAATGCGGCCCTGAATAACTCGAATCGGGTTTGGCGGCTAGGTTACAAGACAAGAGTGTATGTGGAGCTACAAGAGAAGCTGCTACGATTATTATATTTGGCAACTACAAGGAACCGCACTACACATTTTCCTTTACCCCTATAGTTGTCAAAAGCCCGTAGGAACCCTAGTCAGACCTGTCGCAGTAACAGCCAGGAAGCCAGGGGTGCACGATGTAGCGGCTGCCCAGTCGGAAAGCGCCCATGACTAATGCTGCTGATAATTAAACCGACATGGTGAGATTTCTTGAAGGTAGTGGGTTTACCAGTACTTCAGATTCGCCCCCTACTTCCTCAACCCCCAGATTCCAATGATCAATGCGTAGTGCTCTGCAGACGGTGGCCGAATATATCCCGGCAGTACCTGCTCTTCCAGGGGGGCGGGAGCTATCTTATCGCCCGTGCTGGTCATGCTGGTTACAGCTTCAGCTTTGCATGCTCCATGGCAAGCTCAGTGGCGAGGAAGTGACGCGCCGAAAGAAAGCCCGTGCCATCCGCAAGTGACGGACCGAAAGAAGGCGCGTGCCAGAAACGTCCGGTAGTTGACATCGCGGCTACTTGCTTGTATCAGAAGCCCGGGCATTCTGCAGGGTTCATGTCATGCCCATGGCAGAAGACATCGCAAGACCCGGGACCCGATTGAAATGGAAACAGCTTTGGGCTCCTTAAGCAGATGGGTTTTACATCCATTGAGCTTCCAAGAGTAGACCTGGAAGCTACGCAAGGGCTGAAGATCCTGGTCTTCAGTCGAGTCTTGCAAGGTTTCTGAAACTTCCGAGGGCAAGAAGATTGCCAGATTCCCTGCGACCAAGGCCACGACGCACTCCAGGATCACCTCTGCCTTAGCGAAATTGATCAGGCTCACCAGCAGAATCGCACTTTACATGCACTTGTCATCTGCGTGCTGCCCTTTGTGATTTGACCAGTTCCTCGTATCGCAAGTCAGGCGGCAACACTGCAAGAATGAGCATTCTGGGGCTGTGTTACTTTGGCAAGATTAAGCTGCATCAAGACGTCAGTGCACCGGTCGGCTGGACTGTGCCACTGATGCATTTCTGGTCGGCTTCATTTCTTTTGCACGCCAAAAGTGGAAGACAGCGGAAAAGGTGATGGCTACGGTTGCAGCGAGCGAAAATGTCATGTGACAGCGCTTCGTCGTTTACAATTCTACAACCAAACAAAACACAGACATGCAAAAGTCCGCTAAACGTGCTAAACGTGAAGGCCTTCAAGATTTTGCATAAAAGCTATCCACCCGCAACATTCCCCAGCGCTGGGGCCGTTCTGCGACATGCAATCCCAAAGGGTCCTAGAAGGACCTACATAGCGGAAAGTAGGGTTGCTATATCGTAGGAATGAAACTTTCCTCCATTTAGGTACCTAGGACTCTTTGGGAACAGCAGGCTACAGAAAAGTCACGACATAGTACTGGAAGCGAAGAGGGCGATGCAATTCCTGTACTCCACAGGGTCGGTGAGCTTGTGAAAGCAGTGCCTGGATTTCTCAAGGCACCAGACTCTGGGTTGAGAGAGCCCCTTGCGGCTGGGCCGATCTTTTACTTCTTGTAGGTATCTCTCCACGCCCTGGGGAACGATTATGTTGTCATCCTTGGAGTAGATGAACTGCATGGGAACGGGAGGTTCCAGCCGATGCACAATCGCGGTGTCTGCATCGGCCATCTTTGTGAGTGTCTTGGGTGGCTTGGCGTAGAGGTGGGACTTGGCTACTGAAGCTGAGCCGATCAGGGAGGCCACAGCTCGCTTGCCTGCCACCTCCGCCGCACGCTTGCCATCCTCCGAGCCATCGTGATCCGAAGACGCAGCAAATGCCACGGTGCCGGCCATAGATTGGACGAAGCTTTGTATGCAAGAGTCAAGGGGAACAGCACTGTCGCAAGCGGAGTCCATCACAATGCCACGTAGCACATCTTCGAGAGGCGGCAGGTCGTCCAACACCCCCAAGTGCTCCTCGGAGCTCCGGATTGCGCCCCACGCCTGTAGAATTTCCGTCCATGCATGCATGCCTCGGCTCTTGCTGATAAGGAACCATATACTAAAAACAACGCCAATCGGGACTATAGGAAACAGGCGTGGCCAAGAACCTAGATGCCGGAATTGCTGAACATGTGCACCAGGAGTTTAGGCTGACTTTTGCTTCTTGACCACGCCTCTGCAGCTGACTTGATTCCGAACGCACACTGGCATCGCAGACCGAAGCTTTGCTTGCGATTGCTGGTTGAGATGAAGATCGTACATCCAGGAAGCAGTTCACGATACATTTTCGCAACATCTTCCATGTCTTGCAACGAACCACCTCCCCACGAGAGTAGGAAGACCACGTCTCCGCTGTCTTCTTCTGGAACATCCAGGTGTATGGCACTCATTCCGGTTTTGGAAGGGTCGGCAGTGAGACCCACAGCATCATCAATCAGAAACCCAAGTAAGTTCCTGCACTCCTTGGCCTCCAGCATGCCCAATGCCCTCTGCCAGGTGGAGATTGTGCGAGAACCATCTCCTGCCGACAGCCGTGCCACCTCTGCATAGGCACTCTTCAACGAGTCGACCTCCCCATCTGGTGTACTGAAAAGCACGTCCAGCTTGGCCTTGAACTCGTCGAAATCCGTCGGAGGGGGCTGCTGAGCCCCTTCTTCCAAAAATCGCAAGGCCGCGAAGATGTCGTCCGCTCCTTTCTTCGCCTTGCTCTGCTCAACCACGGGCTTTGGCTTCGGAGGCGAAACGGGAGCCTGGCTCGAATCATCGCCCGGATCCGCGAAAGGATCCCAGTCCATGGCGCCAAACCCGGGACTCTGAACCGGGAACCCCGGAGGCCCGGAGGACGAAGATTTCAAAAAGTGGCTGGGGCATCGAGGCTCGCACTTCTTGGCTGAAACTGACGTCGGTTTGGTGCCTGAGCTGGTGGAACTACCCCTTGTCTGCGTCGGCTCGGCTTGGGCCACATATATAAGTGGCAAGTTGTGCCATGGCTTGGTCGATGGACGTTTCATGAAGTCACATCACGCACTAAACAGGACGGCATCGCTAATCCAAACATCCTGGACTCCGCGTGGAGGACTGCTTTTCTCTTCTTCCGCAGGACCCGAGACTCTGCCTCAAATCACTGCGAGACGGGAGCCAGGACGCCGGTTTCGGGGACCCTTGGAGCTTACTGTAGAGTCCTCGGCTCGGGCCTTAGAGTTTACGCCTTCGCGGTTTAAGCTTCTCTTCGGGCTTTGCTGGCGCTTCAAGGATGGCCGGGCTTGCAAGTCTAAAGTCCCATAGACAGCAACACACTAAAAGTAAAACCAATCTACAGCCTGAAGTGTCGATAGCACCCGGACCCTTTTTGGACAGGTTCTGCAGTGCGCGAGCCCTAATACGCTGGATTCCTGGATGCTAGAACCTCTAAGCCCTAAAATCCTTCCCCCCTCATGGAGCCGTAAGTCATAGAGGCCCTTATGACATCCTTACAGAGCCATCCTAGACCCCAAGCCCTAAACCCTAGCCTTATGGAATCCTTCACAACCGGGCCCCCGGTGCGTCCGAGAAGCGCTGGCCCTCGCTCTTCGAGGGCCCGACAGAATCTATTCTTGAGTTCTTTCCCAAAGGCTCCAGTACCCATATGGGAGGTTGTCAAAATTACGGTGCCTTTTTGGGTCCTTATTATAATACGGCACCTATTATTTAGGGTACCCCAAAAGGGACCATAATTGTGACAACTACCCATATGGGGGTTTCTGAAAATAGGGGACCCTAATATAGTACCCTAAATCGTAGGGTCCTTATTAGAAGGACCCCCAGAATAAGGTACCATAGTTTTCGGGAACTCCCATATAGGATATACTTAGGCCTTAAAGGGGTTCCTATATATGTAAGAACTTTAAAGCCGATGTACATACTATATAGGTACATGGAGCCTTAGGGCTTCTGCCCTCTTTGAGGGGCCCTTATTAAGAATTAGGGTTTACGTCTTCCGCTTGGATTTGGGAGGTCGGTTCGGCAGGCGTCGCCCCCATACAATCTCCCGATCAATCTCTGCACCGAGGTCTCAAAACGCATCTGGAAGAAACCCTGGAGACGATAACCCCGAAGCCTCTAATGCAATGTAGTAAACCTTATATTAATATAGTAAACCGTATTTTTTGGTACACTACAATGAAATATCTTGGATCTTATAACAGTGTTATAATATGGTTAACCCTAAACCCTAAATCCTAAACCTTGAATCCTCAACCCTAAGCCCTGAACCCTAAAAGCCCGGCGAAAGGGCCGAGCGCTACGGTTGGTAGCCGTCGCCCCCGGGTCTCTTCAGCCGTGAGAAGCAGCTGCCAGGTAATGCCCTTCCTGCAGCTTTAGTTAGGGCTTACCCTAAGGGTCCAAAGGACCCAATAATAAGGTACTTTGGTTGCGGATAGTAGTTTTTTAGGGTAATATTTGGGAGAGTATATGATTATAAGGTACTTGGACCCTTAGGGTTAGGGCTTTTAGGGGTTTAGGGGTCCAGGGATTAGGGTTCAGGGCTTAGGGTTTAGGGGGTTTTAGGGTTTTGGGTTTAGGGTTCAGGGCTCAGGGTTTACAGTTTAGGGTTTAAGGGTTCTGGGCTTAGGGATTAGGGTTTGTTGGCCTCCCACCTAGCTAAGACAAGCCCGCCATGCAGGGTTCAGTCACAAAGAAGAGTACTGTAGTGTTAGCCATAATATGCAGCTATTGGCTTGTTCTTGTAAGAGCTTGGGGTGTCAGGGTTTAGAGGATTTGGGCTTTTTCAGGCCCTTGCTGTTTTTGTTACTTTCTGTATGTTAGGGCTCAGTTCTTCAAGCTTTGGGCTTTGAGCTCTGCTGATCGATAGCCGATTTAGTTGATCTTGTGTAGAAACAACTGTTGTTGCGAAGGGTCCTTTCGTCCGGGCTATCAAGCTGGAAATTCTAATTTCCTAAAACTGAACGCTCTCTTCGTCCGGAGGATGAATGAAGCACTGAACCAGACCCTGAGCCTAAACCCTATGTAAGGGTCCGGGTCCTTTCGTCCGGATGATGAAGCCGCCACTCTGACACGCAACGATGTCGAAGCCTCTGAAGTGTAGGGGCTGCAAAGCTGTCAGGAGGCAGAAACTCGGATGCCTGATGTAGGGGCCTTCATAATTAGAACGGGGTTTTTGGGCTCCCCGAAACAAAAAACACCAGGAAAATATGGGAAACTACTTAAGCCTCTAAACAAAACCTCAACGCAGGATACTGGACCGTGGCTGTGGGATGGTGCCGCCGCCTGGCAACTTTACCGGGTAGTGGGGAGGGTCTGTTGTTGTCCGTCCTTGCGCTGGTGTTTGTGGTCGGGCTGCGTTGACTTTTGTCGATCTGCCTGCGTATGTGGGAGGGCTGTCTGGTGCTTACCTAAAGGACGAAATGAATCCTAAAAGGGTTTAAGGTTCCTAAACCATATAGGGATTCATAGTATAAGGGTACAGAGCCCCTGCTTTAAGGGTCATTTCGTCCTTCAGGTAGTAGGGAATGGGGGAATGGATCCCTATGATAGTCCCTTAAGGTCCCTTATAGTAGTCCCGATAATCCATTCCCCCATTCCCTACTAAGCACCAGACAGAGTGTGGCTGTCACCGTCGTCCAGTTCAGGGCTCCAGGATTTGAGTTGATTCAGGGAGCGTCATTGTGAACCCTCTCGGTATGGTCTTCAAGGGCTTCCGCCTGCCGGGATGCCAGACTTCTATGTGCAAACTCCCTTGGGCCCCTTCTCTGCAAGCGTTGCCTTAGCCTAAAAGGGTTCAAGGTTCCTATACCATATAGGGATTCATAGTATAAGGGTACAGGGCCCCTGCTTTAAGGGTCATTTCGTCCTTCAGGCGGGACAAGCATGCATCGAAACCATGCGCCCTGAAGACCTCCGACTCCCGGCCGCGCCCTACCTACCGAACCCTGCCAGCTGACACCAAAGCTACAAGAAAACCTACCCATATCCCAAAAGTATGTAGACTAACAGCCTTTTGTGGGTTTGGGGCCATGAATTTAACCCTTTTGCAGCAGGCTTCTCTCGCATGAATTTAACCCTAAACCCTAAACCCCTAAACCTTAACTCCTGGGGATGAGGCCAAGCTCTGGAGGAACAACAGCAGCAAGAACGGTGGCCCTGACCCCTGGCATCTGCTGGTTTAGAGCTTAGGGGTTTAGGGTTTGGGGTTTAGGGGTTTGGCGTTTAAGGGTTCAGGATTTAGGGGTTTAGGGTTTAGGATTTAAGGGTTTAGGGTTTAGGGTCGAGAGGTTGAGTTTAAAACATCCACAGACTCGTCAGGGCCAGTCTTTTTCCAGCTCAGATGAGTTAGGGTTTAGGGTTGAGGTTTTAGGGTTTAGGGTTCGTTCGCTTCGTAAGGAAACCGCGAAGTAGCAAGGGCAGACTCGTGCATCTGGCAGGCTGGCTGTCTCCCAGTTGGTGAATGATGATGGCTTATCAGGACTTCACAAACACTTTCTGGACCGGGTCCCACTCTTCTGTCTTGCGCCTCGCACGAAGCGCAAGGCAGACAATGTCATTGCAGTCACAGTAGGCAGCATGATCACCGCCACTAGCAAGACATCGGCGTGATCGCTGTCCGGTGACTGCCAAATGGAACCAACGGAGAAACAGAGAGTATGACTGGCAACCGGCAGCTGGAAGAAATCACCACATCAGTGAGCTTAATGAGCACAGCCCGAATACTAGTCGCAAATCAAGTGATATAAGGATCAGAATCAGAAACAACGATGAACAACCGCCACCATTCAAGATCAACCAGCAGTCTTCCATGCCACATGCGGCAATGAGAACAGGGTGTTGGAGAATATCATAGTCTAAATGCAAGACAGAACATGACGGAACCCGAAGGAATAGCAATTACTATTGGTTGATATTGGTAACTATTCAGGCTTCTATAATGGGTAGTTCTGCAAATTAGGGTAAGAGTGCCGTACTATATTGGGGACCCGAAAAGGGACCGTAAGGTAGAGAACAAGCCCTAATATGCCCAGAAGCCAGCAACCCAAATCTTCCGAAGCTCTGAAACGTGGAGGGTCGGGGGACTTAGTAAGTAGATAATAAGTAGAGTTATAAGTACCCTAAAAGGGATCCTAAGTGGGGCTATGGTACTTATAAGTCTATAAAATAACTACTCCCTTGTCCCCCGACCAGGGAAGGTCCCTGGGATCGGACCTGGCCTCGCAGGTCCTCGCCTGCCCGGTGCTTTCGTGGCTCTTTCGTGGTGGTGCTGGCAACGTCTGAAAGCGTGCATACACCGGGAGAGAGATAGAGAGAGGTAGAAAGATCAAGAACGAGATGCAAGCATATTGGAGTTAGAAGGTGCGCAGCATTGCCCAAATATGGACTCTTCTGGTTTTGCTTCACGTGCTGCTGCCTAAGTCAACCTCCATTACCAGTATCACTGCATACATACTCAGCTGCCTCCAGCGCAAATCAGCTGCTAGCAGGACCCAAGCCCCCGGCTGAGAACGGGGTAGAGTTCCGAAGCCGCCTGCCGCAAAATGAAAAGCGACAAATGGTAGCCGCGGGACAAAGAACCGATGCAGCCCTGGGGTCCAGTAGCCATGCTGACAGGTCGAGCCATCCCCAAAGAGCCCAATACTCCTTGCTTCAGGAGTACAACTTAAATCTATCACATTCAGCCCCTTATATTTTGAGGTATACTCTTTTATTAAGGGGTATTGGGCTCTCTGGGCCAGCGCACAAACATGGCATACCCGAAGAAGTCTTGGAATGTGATACAACTAGACCATGTCCATCCTTGCCACGGCCC